TACCGATTGGAAAAGAGAAGGACCGCGTATGTGGCTTGTTTACCAGAATGCAATTTGCACGATCTCTGCTACTTGCTCTGAGCAACCCAACGACGGCTTTCTGCATAAAGTCGGGACTGACTACAATCCACCCTGTAACATTTCCGAAAAAGGTATCAAAGACGGAACCTGGGAGCCTTCATGGATACGCACGGGTATCCCGTTGAAATACGCCTCGGTCGTCGCTTCCAATTTGAACAGACGCGGCTGGGTTGCGCAAGAACGCCTACTTTCGCGAAGGATACTACATTTGTCTGAAGAGGGAGTCTTCTGGGAATGTCAAGGAACTTACGACGATGAGGAAATCAATCATGGGGACCCTGCCGGGGGCAAGAAGATCGGTCATAACATAGGACCACATCACGCTTCCTCAATGGATTTCGGGAGTTGGCTAACTTTCATCGAACTTTATTCATCGTCGAAATTCACATTGCAAACGGATCGTTTGATCGCCCTGTCATCGATTGCACGGTGTGTACCAATTGAACGGTTTGGACATGAGTATTATGCTGGCATATGGGGGTCGCACCTCCTCATGTGCCTCTCCTGGGGCTCTGAGACTCCGTGTTCCGCCACAGCAAGGGATTCGTACCTCACTATTGCGCCATCCTGGAGCTGGGCCTCGGTGACTGGCGGAGTTCAGTATCCTTCACGTTCACACGGTGCGCATTCGGAAGACCTACTAGAGATGATTGACGTGCAAACTTCACTAGCTGAACCCAGCAACCAGTATGGTAACATGGAAAAGGGCGCTTTGAAGCTCCGTGCTCGGCTTTGTTCCCTTTCTCTGCCTACAGACGGTGATGAATATGATCTGGGCTTGGACAACCCATGTTTCTCCGACTTGGAAGAGGCCGACGGGGGGCTGGCCTGGGATGAATACCAAGACCCTTCCACAGCCATGGCGGTATACACTGTTATCCCGCTGGGCATATGTATTGACGGTAACGAAGCTTTGTACGACGCTTTAGTTATCACTCTAGTACCATCAACCGGTGGCGGAGACACAGGCAATTCGTGTGAAGTATATCGGCGTATTGGACACATCCACTGGCGGCTCTTCCAGGGTTACATACATCCTGGCCATTTGCGATCAAAGTTTCAGGTCTGGACCGATGCTCTCTTCCCTAATGCCGCGGAGCAGACTATTGTAATAATTTGATTTTGTCACATATGTATGTATTGTGTGTCTCATAAGTAGGGAGCAATTCTTTAAACCAAAGTACGTGTTACACATCCTCTCAAGACCTCATGTTGTGCGCTAAACTACGAGCGTGGTCCTTGTTATTGCCCAAAGTACTAATCAATATTTCGCGAAAATCTGGCATTCCTCAAATCATGCAGCGAACTGCTGGTCTCGAGAATGTTCAACAGCAGAGTCGGATAGTCCCAACCCAAGCCAGCAGCAGCCAATGCCGTCAGACTAGCTTGGTTCTCTCTACCAGGCCTACCAGGTCCTGTCATGTTCTGGTCACCGTTTAGCCATGTCATCAACAGCAACTCTCAATTGACCTACTGGTTTCATGTTGACATCAAAAAGAGCGAATGGCGACGATGCATCCTCGGTGAACCGACGAGCATCAATCCTAATGGGAGCAGTACATTGGAGCAACTTCGCCACCTCAACGCACTGTCGCTGTACCTCACCATACTGTGGATCGGCCAAGTGTTCGTCTTTGGAAAGACAGCGAGAGTTCTGAAGCACAGCGACCGTGCCATTGTACGGTGCTACACCTGTTCGTAGTCAGTAGACATTACATCCGCATTCCCAAGTCCACGCAGCCAACGCACCTTCAGCGTGATTAAACCGTTCCACAACTGGCATCGCCCAATAATCATCCTGTCCCGTCGCAGGCGAAGGCGGCATCACAGTAACAGTGACTTCCTGCCCCGCAAGAAAGTCTTCGACGATGACGTACGCATCCTCTCCCAGTAAATCGCGGCAATGGTCGATCAGTTCATCTTCGGAGCGACAAACTCTCACTCCATAACTCCCTCGTCCTCTGACCGGCTTGGCGACAACAGGATAGCGAAGATCCGGCCGGAGCGCTGCCGCAAGATCTTCTTCGTTTTGAACGTCGTGTGCATCCGGCAGCGTAAACCCACCACGAGAACGAAGAAGATTGTTAACGAATGCCTTGTCGTCGCACAACTCCACCAGCTTCGGCGGCTGTCCAACGACCCTCACCGTCTGCGCCACACTCGTCAGACTACCTGCCGTCTGAAGCGGATGATCCGCGAAGAGTATAGTGTTAGCCCAAAGGTGCGTCACACCCTTCTCCAGCGCGCGCGCAATTCCGGCCTCGGAATCTCCAAAACACCAGTCTGCATCGCGGCGCGGGTCTGGAGTCGAGACGGGTGTGACGACGGTGATGGGGCTGTGGTGTTGGTGGGTTAGTGCGTGGGCGATGTCTGCGCTGGAGTCTTTGTATCCTTGGTGGGAGTGTTAATTTTGCCGTGGAGAGTCTGGTGGTAGAGGTAAGGCTGCATTACCTCCGGGCTTTTTGGGCTTGCGCACCCCATGTATTAGTGGTGGATCGAGTTCTTGGTTCAGGACTGCTACGCGTGGCGCGGATGTGGTGCTCATGTGTTGGCGAGTAGCGGGGATGTGCAGGCGACGTACAAGAGACGTCTTCGCGAAGCACTTCATCGCCTTGATCATTGTAGCCAAGCGAACCAGAAGGCATAGGCGGTGGCTTATAGGCTGGTGTTGAAGTACACGGTCATGCTCGAAAAGGTCAGACACGCGTTCGGAAACGTTTCCGAGCACGCCGTGCACTCCAAAGTAAAAGACATCACGACTTCTGCACGAACTCGGATCGCACCAGCAACTGTGCCTCCATTGTGGAACCTGAGAGCGCTGTCGATCCTGGTACGCACGTAGTGGAAAGGCCCTCGTCCAGGCTAGAGATTGCAGTGCATGTCTGCAAAGATGCATTGCGCGGCCATTTGCATACCCGCTGTTACAGGAACCTTCCTGTCGGTACATTCCCGCGGGTTACTCCCGAATCCAACCCGTGTGGCTCGTTACATTGCACGAAGAGGCTGTGCAAAAGTTACGAATGACTGGCTACCTCTTTGTTGTTCTGGCTACATCCTTCCACGGTTGGCTTTCATGCCTGCTCCTCCGCGCTAGAGATTGCAGTGCATTGGCGGCATCGGGTAGTTACGCAATGCAGAACGAATAGAGTGCGCCTTTGAGTCACGCTGCAACCTTGACATGCGATATCTGCTACGTTGCGCGAATGAACCGAACTACTACGAAATGCTGGACAGCACACAAGTTTGTGCCTGCCTTTCGATGTTCCGAGCGCCGCTTCGGTATGGGTACGCACGCGAACGAGACGACCTTTCCCGCGCTAAGAATTGCAGTGCAGTTACTTTGCTCCGAGGCCTATTTGATCTTAGTACGCACAAGGCTAACCTCTGACATTGACTCCTCCAGCGCTAGAGATTGCAGTGCAGACTTCCTCCGAGACCTATTTGATCTTAGTACTCACAAGGCTGACCTCCGAGATGGCCCCTCCCGCGCTAGAGATTGCAGTGCAGTTTCTAGCTCCCTATATTCCTTAGTTCAAGCCGGGTGGCTATTGGCGGAATTCGTAAGGTTTGATATGTTAGATCTCCTTTTTATGGCTATTGCGCATCTTGCCCGCATCACCTGCACCTTCGCAGAGAAGATTATTAAGTAAATGAGCTCTTGTTCAAGAGGTTCTAACCCTTCAAAAGGCTCTTGTTCTGCGGTTCTATTAGCTTAAAGGGCTGCCGAGAGCCACCAGGCTACTGAACCAAGGATGAGACTGTACGCCCACCAGAAAAGCTAAGAAGTCACACTCTTACGAATCCAGAGCCGCATTCACAAGGACCATTGAGAGCCCCGGTGACTTGGCAATGTAGAACCCTGTTCTCAGCTTCACCGGTGGGCTGCAGCAGTGCATGGTCATCCAACCACCATCCCTGCGCGTCGTACCCGTTGTACCAATGGTTCCCAAATGCATGCGATACGGTCTCGACCCGCGTGGCTTTGTAGTGATGTGTAACAGGGCTGTGCAAAAAGAATGTGGGTTATTGGCCACTTCCGCGACATACCTAGGTACACATCCGCTCCTTTGCGCTAGAGATTGCAGTGCACTTGTGATATGTCTTGGTATAGCACTGCCACAAGTGGCGCTGGAATCTGCCCAGGTGAGATCTGGCTGCGCAACGCACCCACCCTACAAAATCATTGCAGCAGAAGAAGTTTGAAGCGCTTAAAGATAGTTGAGACGCTGATGTTGAGATAAGAAGTTGAGTTCGTGTAGAGCCGAGAAGCTCTGGGCGCCTTGGGGATGTTTTCAAGCCCGAAGCCCTTTCTACCCTGGTACACATGAGGCTGAGACAACCTCTTCCACGCTTAGGATTGCAGTGCAGATCAGCGCTGCATCTCTGGCCACTTTACAGGTATTCGTCTGCTGATTACGTCCTAACCGCATACAAGCTAAGCCTACATGGCTTCCAGCAATGCGTGACGAAGCTATGCAAAAGCCCTACATTATTGGCTACATCTTTCGCGTATGTGCTCGTCGCCGCTAGAGATTGCAGTGCAGTTGGTGCAGGCTGACTCACTCTTGCTGACCAGTCACTAAGACGATTCGGTGTGTACGTACACATGACTGGCGACCAATTGCGGTGCATTACAAGAGCCTTTTCACAGCCTCTGCATCCCCAGAGAGAGCCGCATGGTTGACAACCTTCCCCACATACATGCTCGTCCGCGCTAAAGATTGCAGTGCAATTTGCAACTGCGCAGTTCCTACCTTTCTACTGGCTGCCCAAAACCTAAAGCGTGTTGAACCTGCATGGTTGATGGCAACGTGTGACGAGGCTATGCAAACGTGTTGTATTACTGGGTTTACATACACACCTGCTCCTTTGTGCTAAAGATTGCAGTGCAGTTGCTCTTCTGGTGTGGATGTCTGGTCTCACAGCCCCTCCCACTCCGGCCGACACCGACACCCCCTCCGCCTTACATGCAACACCCCCCTCTCAGCCGCCCTCACCATCCACTCCACCCACTCAATCTCATGTTCCACAACCCCCCTCCACTCCCCCGTCTCAATCCTCTCTTGCTGACTCTTCACCAACCAATCCCTCAGCCTCCTCACACAGGCTTCTAAACTCTCTGCTACGCTATCTTCCGTCGCACCAGGCTTCTGCTGCTCGAGATACATCATGCGCTCCATGCGTGTCAAGAGGGCGAGTTGGATAGATGAAGACTCTGTGTATTTCGAGAGGAGTAAAGTGGCGGAGGCGCGGAGGGCGAGCGCATCTTCGCGTGTTGCGGTTGTGCAGGGGAGGTGGCGTTGTGGGCGGGCGAGGTGGAAGGAGCCTGGGGGGCGTAGGACGACGAGGTCGTCGAAGGAGGTTGTTGGGGTTGGTATCGTTGCTGTTGAGTCTCGTGATGTTGGCCTGGTTGATGACTGTGATTGTTGCACTTGTGGTGATCCCATGTTTCCGTCCCAGTTCAGATACGGATTGCTATCCAGTGACCTCGTGGTGTGTAGTTCGGTCGACTGATCGTCCACGTCCCCGCACTCAGTGTCGGGGTAGTCGTCTGAGTCGTACATGAACGTCTCCGAGTAACTGAACCCATAGCCTTCTCTTTTCTTGCCCGGTTTGATCAAGACCGGAGGTTGGTGGTAGATTGACGTTTGTGGTTGGATGGGTTGAACCGGAGACGCCTTGGTAGTAGATTGTGAACTCGAGGAGGAGAAGCTGGCACCGGGGGTCATCGTCAGCCCCGAGAAACTCTGGTTGAAGTTGTTCTCGGAGTGGACTTGTCGCTCGACATCATCGATGAAGGATTCGGAGAAGGAGAAGCGGAGTTGGATGTTTGATGATGGTGGTGGCTGGCTCTCTTGACTGCTCTTGAGATCACGTGCTGGTATCGATTCCCGTTGCGATGGCATGGTCGGCGCTGGCCTATGGGATAAGGGATTGTTGTTTTGCTGCTGCGGGGATATAAGCCTGGGTGGCTTTGCGCCATGTATATATAGTACTTACAGGCCCTCGCCACCTAGGCGGCCGCTTGCTCTTTCCCTCGATTGCTCGACGCTCTTGTAACTTTGTCTGTTCTACAGATACTGGAAGAGCAAGTACATCGATACTTCTACTTCTGCGCAGACTGACTTGTCGCTGCTTTGTTGGGCCTTCTCTTCTCTCTTTGATGTTAGAGCCATGATCGTTCATCGCGCAAGTTGACTTACCTTTACAGGCATGATCGGAGTATGCATGCGCGTCGCGCGTATGAGATATTCAATATACCAAGGTGGTCGCACGTGTTTCGTTTAGGAAGCAGGGACGAAATATCTTCGACTTTGGGGAACGCGACTAAGATAACTGTGTTGATTGTTGATGCGTCGTGTATATATCCCGGGGTACGTCAATCGGAAGGCGCGTCCGAGTCGCGTGGGTGTTGACTAGCGTGGTTAGCGCAAAACACGACTCTTGTCCTATCACCACGGTGATCTTGAGTATCCTGAGACACAGCGCCCCACTTTCTTGTAGTATCCGATCACACTTGCGATATTTGGGTGGTGAGGATAGACTCTTGTCGCATTACTTTTGCGCATTCCAATGGTATCATTTCTAGCAATTCGTTCTTGTCCCCCTTCCTCGACTAGTGTCGCGAACGAGCTACTTCTTTCCGGTCTCCAATAGTTCAACACCTGTCCTCACAACGCCGATCGCTGCGCCCGTTTGTATGGCTTCGTTACCACCTCCACTCAACCTGTACTCGATGTCTGCCAGACCTGCCATCCAAGTCACCATGACCTGCGGCGGCACGTCGTTGCTGACTAGCTCCTCACTGATCGCGGTCAGGATATCTGCCAGCGCGAGCCCCTTCATGATCTTCAGGTTATTGACCGTGCGCAAGCACTCTGTCATGTCATTCTTCGATAGTAACGTCTCGATGATGTACTTGATATCTGACGGGTGTGGTGCAGCTATGCAGTCGTAGATGGTAGTTTGCGTGATCTCGTCGCGCACGATCGTGGATGGGTCGGGTGCGGGCTTGCCGGGTGTCTGAAGCGGCGTGCTTGATGCGTGACAGGCCTGTAGAACGTTAAGTGCTCGCCTCATGTCTCCTTTGCTGAGCGTGACGAGCGAGTCGGTTGCGTCTTGCGTGATGTTGACCTTCTCCTCCTCAATAACCTTGTCGACCAAGTTCCTGATGTCCTGATCCTTCAGCGGGGAAAATCGGAACCTCGTGCATCGTGATAATAACGCTGGCGAGAGCTTGTGTGTGTAATTGGCGATGATGCAGAAGCGTGTGTTCGCGGTATACTTCTCCATGATTCGTCGCAGGGCCATCTGCGCGGTCGCAGTCATGGCATCGGCTTCGTCGAGGATGATGAGCTTGAACGTTGCCAGCGATGAGTCTCCCGCCTTGGGTGCCGCAGAGAAGATCTGCTTTGTGCTACTGAATGTCTTGATCTGCTCCCGCACAACGTCGATACCTCTGTCGTCTGATGCGTTCAGCTCCAAGACCATCTGTCGCATGTTCTTGTTTCCGTATATGCGGCGTGCGAGTGCGAGGACGGTCGATGTCTTTCCGGTACCTGGAGGGCCGTAGAGGAGGAGATGGGGTAGTCGCTGTGAATGTTAGCGATCATCTTTATGGGTATACTCTTGGTCGTACATTTGAATCTACAAATTTGTTGATGGTTGCTATTATGTCCTTGTGGCCTTCGACGTCATCGAGGGAATTTGGTCGGTACTTCTCTACCCTATCTAATGTTTAGCAGCTGTGCAGAAGACAGGATGAGTTGAGCCTCACCATGGCAGGGAATCCTCCGCTTCAACGGGCAGATTTGCAGCGCTCCTCTTGCCCTTCTTCTGGTCTCCACCGAAAGTAATCGAGTTGTCTACCGCGGGCGCATCCACGTCCATCTCATCTTCGTAGTCGGACATTGCGATAGCTGTAATGACGATTCAGAGAGTCTCTGTATGGATTGAGGTCGAATCGAGGTAGCTAGAACGTTGATTGGCGGTATAGAGGCTGTTAGTAAGAAAATCGAGGGAGACGCGCCGCGCGCAGGGACGCGTTGATGGGGCGGCTTAGTCACCCCTCGCTGCTCAGCCCTACCAGCACACCTTACCGAGCGGAGCTGCGCCGTCACCTCCGCCGAGCTCCCAGAACACCGCCAGACACCAACAAGCTAGGCGACAACACCCAAGATGCCGGTGAGTTATAGCATCGTTTCTTCAGATTGATGCCTCAAGGCATGTTCAAACATCTAGAGCAGCAGCTGACACACCTAGGCCTACCACTCCGTCTTCCTCGATGAGCCCAATCAGCAATTGATTGGTACAGCTACACCCTCCAGCTTCGGCACAGGCAAAAGTGACTGACCGGCGCATCAGGCAACTTTGCTCTCCTCCCACTCCGCACACGCACTCGCGGCCCTGCCATCCAGCTGCCAGCTCTACCTGCCGATGTCACAGAGCTCACCATCGATGCCTCACACGAGTCGTACGATCCGCTAGACGAGATCCTTGCCCTCTTCCGCGCCAACACATTCTTCCGCAACTTCGAGATCAAGGGACCCGCCGACCGTGTCCTCATCTATGGCATCCTATACGTTAGCGAGGTACTGGGAAAGATCAAGCCGGGCATGAGTCGGAGAGAAGCCGAGAAGGTATGCTGTCGGGAGGACGGATGAAGAAGGCGGACACTGGGAGCTGACTACATGGCAGGCTGTCATGAACATTGCGCTGGATACCAACTTTGCGATTCCGGGCGACGCAGGCTTCCCGCTCAACCAGGCCTTCGAGGCGCCAGCGGACAGGAATGGGGCCGAAGTGCTGCGACAGTACATCATGCAGATGCGACAAGAGCTAGCGACACGGTTACTCAACAGGGTATACGCGGACGAGACAAACACACCCAGCAAGTGGTGGCTCAGCTACACCAAGAGGAAGTTCATGGGCAAAGCGTTGTAGATGAGCATGGACTTGGTTACTGCGTGGTTGAGGTTGTGTGACAGATGTCGCAATCAATGAACTAACAAGACATTCTCTGGTTTGCGACACTGGTGTAGTACTACCTTCTCATCATGTTCATGTGTCTCTTCTGTCAAAACGTTCCGACCGATTTTAACATCCCGTGATTTTGTACAATTTCCAGGGTCTAGTCACGCGCTGACGTCATGAGCTCTTGCCCTGCACTACCTGCGTTTGGGCAGCAGGCGCGGACGCTGGCGTTCTATTTGCTTGATCGCCGAAGCCTGCACTCCCGCCGCAACATCAACGCGCAACACCCATCTTCTAATTTCTAATTTCTTTATTGTGCGCGCACTCGATTCGGCGCCGTCATCTTCAGCTGCCCTTATCATCGCTCGCTACACATGCCCCGGCTGCCCTTTGGACCTAGCCACATGTCAGCTCCACCGACAGGCCAAACAACAGAGATGCAGGGTATGCCAAGACTACCGGAAGTTCTAACCTGATGTCAAGCGCTAACACATGTCGAAGAAGAAGATGAATGGACCGATGTGTCCGACGACATTGCTGGACTTGGTTTGGACGGCCATGACAAGCCTGACGATGAGAGCAACAAACCGCTTTCTGAGGAAGAGCTTGCGCTATTACCCAACAGTAGGTCTTCCAACTTCACGAACATCAGTCCCGTGATAGCGAGCCCCGACGCATGCCATTCAAGGTGATTAGCTGACCGCGCAGTGCCCGTTCTCTTCAGCAACGATCTACCACCATGCGGTCTACTGCCACAACTTGCATACGAAAACACCGTCCATCGGCTACGCAAGCTCTGGCTCGAGCGCGCCCACCAAGAATCCGCGGACATTCCCCTCCCCAGTCTCTGCCGCCTAGTCCTAGACGACCTCAAAGCCGAAGAAGAAGAGCTCCCAGCCGGCAGTCAAGCCGGAACCAAAAACCGTACTCCTTGGCGACGCGAAACCGTCTTCCAGTACGAACTCCGCTGGGCCAAGTACTTCGTCCGGGAAGCCGAGACCGCGGAGAAGAGAGTCACGATGACGGAGAAGCAGCTCGATAAGCAGGACTTCATGGATAAAATGTACCCGATACCTAAGGAGTTGAAGATTTATGTCAACAACAAGAAGAATCAGAAGATGGTGTCGGATATGTGGAAGGAGTGGCATCACAAAAAGAGGGGGACTGTGGAGCAGGAGAGTGCGGGGCTGGGTGTTGGGGGTGCGAAAGAGGACGATACGGAGCCTGCTGGGGATGATGGAGAGGATGGTGAGGAGCAGGATGGGCAGAGACAGTTTGTTGATCCGACGGCTTAGGAGCTGAGTCGGCAGGAACTTCATGAATGGCTGCTGGGTTTGGGACTGTGAAATGTCTTGTAACGATATCTTGTCTTTGAGAGTATTCGGTACCTTGATATTTTGCTTTTACACCTTCTTCCGCATCAACAGAATACAGTGCGAAGTTTTGGGCTCGTGTCCGTGGCTCTGTGCTTGCATCAAGGGCCTCGTTAAAGAGGGGTAGATCAACTAACAGGGAGATATTGGCAGCTTTATGGCGGTGAAGATGACTGTTCAACTGCTAACGATGTCAGATACACCTATCACCCGCGAATCACTCATTCATCTTCGCCAGACCATTGCTTTCCTCACTCCTCTTTATACTGTCCAGCGGCCGGTGTCCTTTAATTCCACCTTCACCTCGCCTCCACGACCATGGCTTATCATCAAGCGAGCTGCTAGCGCCATCTCCACTGCCAGAAAAGTGCCAGTCTCTCACCTTCACCTCGTCGCACGCTCTGCCTCCCAGCCCCGCCAGCAAGATATAAAACCCCGCTCTCCCACTTTCCTTCCTTCTCTTCCTTCCTATTCCCATCTCGCACTATCAATCGCCCACACCGCGCCTTCATCAAGCTTTCTTCTTGCCTTTGCTCTTGCATAGCACTCAGCTTCGCTCACATCTTACGAAAAGCACACTACAAAGTAAGTTTGTCTAGCTCATGCTGTCGCACAGATACTGACTGGTACCGCAGATCAACCTCCAACATCACCGCCAAGATGGTTAACTGGACTGCCGACAAGGATCAGATCGTAAGTTCATCTTGCGTCCCGCTGGCGTGCCATTCACCTTGTTTCAGCTGCTGACCAAACTGCTAGATTCTCAAGGGAATCTTCAAGTTCCACGATATCAAGAGCAGCGCTCCGCTCCTCAAGTACCTCTCTGAAGAGATCGGTGGCGGTAAGTACATTCCAGCTCTTGAGCGCTATCGTACTGCCCATGTACACAGCCTGTCGCACCCTCGACTCTTCCCTCACAGCACTTTCGCTTCCACTCCCACCCATAGCCATCCAAGCTAACACCCAACCCTCAGACTGCACCCCCAAGGCCGTCTCTCACCGTCTGACCAACATCCGCAAAGGCGGCACCACTCACGCCGTCGCCTCACCCACTCCCGCTGCTTCCACACCCAAGACACCTCGTTCCAAGGCCAAGCCCGTTCCCCGCAAGAAGAAAGCCGTTTCCGAAGAGGTCGACAGCGATGGCCCCCAAGGCCTCATGGACGATGACGAGATCCTCTCCCCCACTGCTTCCCGTGGCAAGCGCAGCCTCAACGGCAAGCGTAAGCCCACTTACGATGAGACAAGCGACAAGGAGGACGAGGAGGGCGAGGTTGAAGATGACTACGTTCCGATGGCTAAGCGGGTTAAAGAGGAGCCTGTTGATGAGGAGGATGTCGTCGTTGAGGAGCTCGTTGAGGAAGAGGTTTAGTGGCTTTACTGAGGGCCTTGGTTGGTGACGCAGGTTTCGCCTCGTTGAGCACCTTGCACGGTGGAGATTTTGACATAGCGGTATCATGGTTTGCGTTTCGGCGTTCGGTGGTTTGGCTGCTTGGACGTATGAACTGGTGAAAACCTCCGGGTTTCAGCGTCGGGAGTTTGAGCTGGCATTATCTACACGAAGGAAGCCGCGAGGCTGAGTGGGGGCCAGATGGCTACCTCAACCGTCTGCATAGTAACTGCGCATCATGAATGATCAACACTTTACAGCCATGAACTGTAGTCTTCCTGATTGTGTCTCTTGTATCCGCAAATGCTAATCACGGCATTTTTGGTGAGAACAGTGCGATTCCTGGTGACGTGCAGCGATGATGCGCATTTGGGGTAGTTTGGCGATTGCTTGCGGGTACGAAAGTGCGCAACTTGGAAATCGACAGCCACATTGTAGCCCCGTGCCCCTCAGTGCACTGCAATATCTAGCGCAGACGAATTGGTCCATGGGTAGAAGCGGCAACGTGCTAACCAATCATCACCTGGAGGCAGCAGGGTCGGGAAACCTCGGTTTTTGAAGGGTAGCCCGGTGTGCACTGCAATCCCTAGCGCTAATGAGAGTGTGGGCGAAGATTGCAGCTCCGGGCAACCTTGCACTGCAATCTCTAGCGTGGACGAGGGCTCAGGTCACGCCTCTTGTGGTTAGCCTCTTGAGGGCAGTGATGGACGACCTTTTGTGCCATTGAACTCTGTATACGCGCAAAAAATGGGACGCGCTCAATCAACTAGTAGGACGCACTACTGGTGGGCATCGTGAAGAGATTTATCTTTTCTAATTGCAACACGGAAGTCGTGAATCGTCGAGAGTGTCCAACACTACATTTTTGGGTGCATGCAGGTGGAGTGGTCACCCGTCTAGAAGGCTGCGTGCACTGCAATCTTTAGCGCGGACGGGCCTCTGATCGGAGAAAGTCGATAGCCAATCCGATGTCAGACACCCGCCAACTCGAAGCTGCACTGCAATGTCTGACGTGGAAGACGTCGTAGCACGCTGTACCTGTCACCCGAACGTCGAACGCCATGACCTGCATTGCAACCTTGAGCCTGAAAGAGTACGTCGAAAGTGGACCTCTTGTGATGAGCCTCGATCTAGGACCAGGGACTTTCCTGCTCCAATATGTCGCGAACGCGCAACGAGAGGGTCACGCTGTAAGAGTTGCGGGGCTGTACCTTTGGTGAACGTCGTGTGGAAGTTGAGTTACTGCGACCTTCAGGGCGGGTGTCGCAAACCTCACGACAGCTCTCCAAGGTTATTCCGCAGTTTGAGAGCATGCGGCGCCAGAAAACGTTTCAGTGCCATAGACGAACACCACCCGGGTTGCGTTGCAGCCTGCTGGACTGTAATCATTAGCGCAGAAGAACGGGTATCTGGAAGGCGTGGCCAATCAGCTCCTGACATGGCCGATTCGCAACTCAACTGGTGTGCACTGCAATTTCTAGCGCGCACGAGTGCCCGTATGAGAAAGTGGCCCATCAGCCACAGCTGGAACGCCTTCAATCGTGCACCTGCACTGCAATCTTTAGCGCGAAAGAAGAGTTGACGGGATGAAGGCGCATGGCATGCTATGTGTATCGAACAACGTGTCTGGGCACAGCCACTGGCTGTATAATACCAATCACACTTCTCTGAAGAATGATCCCTAGGGTGAAAGAAGCCCGAGGCTTGAAGGCAGAGGGGATGAGCTCGTCACAGCTGAAGAAAGGTCCTCTTCTCCCACTTAGGCATCGTAAGCCGCAACCAGGTGTACCCAAACAGGGTGAATGGCCAAGAAAAAGCTGTTGAGTAGCCAGTTCGGGAGTGCACTGCAATATCTAGTGCGGACGAGTGTACGTGGTGGTAAAAAGGTGCGCTCGATTGGCTGCTGTGACACCACCGGTGAACGTCCTGTGGCGGAACGCTCAGCCACTGTGGTCTCGGCGCGGAGGATGCGTATCCCCACCAATGTCAGCTTTGCATGTGGAAGTCCTTCGCAAAGGCCCTCAAACCGGTCAGGAATCCTTCCGAGGGTGGGCGTTGCACTGCATTTCTTAGCACGAACGAGACCATATACGAAGTATGACGATGACGAATCGGCTGTTTAACGTAGCGCGTCTCTGCAGACACGACTACCAGGGTTAAAGAAAAGGGCAGTTGGTTACGATAAGGCTGCGATTAGTCCAGACCTACGGGATATCTCAGCATGCTGGAACTACAGACATCGTTGGCGTGGGCTCTTGCACTGCAATCTCTAGCGTGAACGAATACCCATCTTGTAGGAGGAGCCCACACCTTCCCACATCAACAAGATGTGCATCATCATCAGCGCGGCTTGACTGCTATGTACTACAGTCCTCAGCGAAAGCGTTGGTAAATGCGAAAGAGCGGCCTCCCGAGCATTGCCTTGATATGGACTGGATCGTACGTTCGGCGCAGGAAAGGGCATCTGGGTCGATAAAAGGAGTGTGTGAGATGAATGGTACTCGTTCGGAAGTCATACAGTGCTGGTTTTGGCGTTGCGCTGCAGTCTCTAGTGTGAGAGGGGAGGACGCGGGTATGGACTGTTTTACCGCGGTGTCGCTGCACTGCGATTCTTAGCGTCGAAGAGCACATGTAAGTCACGTGAGCGGAGAAGCATGAGCTGGACCTTGGGAGCTGCCGGCTGGCCTGACTGATTTCGTCCGATAGCTACTGCAACGGCACTGCAACCTTGAGCGCGCACAGTACGTCTGCACTGCATTCCATAACGCGCCAGAGCACGTGAATACCTACCTTTGCATTGCGATCCTCCGTGCGGAAGAGCAATGATTGTTTTCCGAGACGCGAGTGCGCGATATTCTGGGTGTCTCGACCAATATGCGGCGACATAGCGACAAGGAGTTCACCCTGCGCGTACCGACGGGCTTTCGCACTGCTTTCCCAATACAGATAGATCACGTCTTCGTTGAGAAAATGACCGACGGGATGCTTGGTGGATTGCGAGGCTGAAAACACCTCGCGCGGAACAGATTTGGTGCGGTAGAGAACACATCTCCTTGGAGGCTGATAACGTTCGTCCTACGTACCGGCTTGGCGTTGGGCACAAGAGATTACGCCGATCGTGGGGTATGTAGAACCGAGCCAAAAGCTTGGCGCGACCGGATGGCTAGCAACGACATCCGTTTGGAAGCACTAGACGAAGAACGTACCTGCTACATCCCAGCTTAACACTCGCACTAAAACCTCCAATACGGTATATGCGCGCTCAACGACGCAACGGCGCGTGAATAAGGACGGAAGCCGGAGCAGTCGCGATCCGACCCTAGCGTTTCCCATCGGAGATTTTGGCAGATGTCACTCTTCGAGGCTAGCGCCCGGAAACATTCGAGATCCGACCGTTGTGCCTGGTCGTTCACCACAGGATCATCCTCTCGCGTACGGATGGGGTCCACGCAAGATGTCAAAGCGAAACGTCGGCAGGCATCATACAGTCTGTAGAAGCCATGGTTGAAGAGACAGGGTAAAGAGTCTTGCTACCCAGGGGGTTTTGCCGCAGGGCATATATAATGTCGTCCTCCCGTGCGGAGTGGTATCGCCATCGTTCTACACATATCCGCATCACATCTCACGTCGCGGATTCGAGGACCAGGATTTCTGTCTTCCAAGCCGCCGTCGAAGTCACTCCACATCTGATATCATCTTCAACCTGTCGACAGCGATGTCGTTTCAGAAGGCTGCAGCTGCAGTGCTGCTTCTGGTCGAAATTGTAAGTGTTCTCATCTCGCTGATGCAATCACCCTCTAACGCTTTCTCAGGGTGTCGTCAGTGCAATCGGCGTTGCAATCTATCGTCTCTTCTTCCACCCCCTTCGCAAGATTCCTGGACCGAAGCATTTCGCCGTTTCCGGGATCCCTCTGGCCATCGAGAACAGCATCCAAGGAACTTTCGCCAAAAAGGTCCTGAAGTACCATGAAAAGTACGGTGACATGGTGCGTACTTCGCCCAACTCCATATCCATCAACGGAACTATTGGATGGCCTGAAGTTTTCGGATTAAGTCGCAGTGGCCGACCCGAATTTGGCAGGTGGCATGAATTTTACCAGGGCGGAGACACTTCACGCAAGTCGATCTTTCCTAGCAGCAGAGAGGACCATCGACGTCAACGCCGTGTTATGGCACATGCTTTCTCCGATGCTGCTATCAAGGGTCAGGAGGCGTTGATCATGGAGTACGTCGACAAGCTCTTTGCCCACCTACATAAAGACGCCGCGCAACACACCCCGACGGACGTAGTCAAATGGTTCAACTTCACCACCTTCGACATCATCGGCGATTTGGCCCTGGGTGAATCGTTCCACTGCCTGGACAGCAGCGATTACCATCCATGGGTTTCCATGATATTCGCTGGCATCAGAGCTGGCGCGCAAATTGTTGCGTTGATGAAGATGCCTGGCCTCAGCTGGATCCTACGGCTGATGATCTCTAAAGAGGACATGCAAACGCGTCATAACAACAGGATCATGAGTGACGAGAAGGTAGAGCGAAGGCTGGCACTTGGCGCAGCACCCGGCGGCCGGAAGGACATTATGACATACATCCTTCGCAACAACGACGAGAAGGGCATGAGCCATGCAGAGATCCTGGGCAACTCCGAGGCTTTGATCGTGGCTGGCAGCGAGACGACAGCCACGACACTCTCAGGCTTTACCTACTTCATGTCAACGAACCCGCAGGCTTTCGAACGGCTCCAGCAAGAAGTTCGGACGGCCTTCGCCAACGAGAAAGATATAACGATGTTGTCTACTGCGCAACTCAAGTACCTGCATGCCTGCATTGAGGAGACTTTACGAATGTACCCGCCCGTTGCGGATACGCCTCCACGTGTGTCTCCTGGCGAGTACGTTAACGGCTATTGGATTCCCAAAGGTGTAAGTCATTCCAGATCACTTTGCCTGTCATCCATCAGTCAGAAGAAGTACTTCGAATAAACATGGACAGTCACAGCTAACAACACCTCTCAGACTCTTATCACGATCTTCCAGTGGGCCGTCCACCACAACCCCAACAACTTCGTCCAGCCCGACTCCTTCATTCCCGAACGCTGGCTCGGCCCAGACCATCCTTACCACGACACACAGTTCAACGCAGACAAGAAGTCTGCCTTCCAACCCTTCTCTTTCGGCCCTCGGAACTGCATTGGCAAGAATTTGGCTTATAACGAGCTGCGCATCATTGCTGCTCGCTTCATCTGGAACTTCGACCTTGAATTGCAAGTCGGAAGTCACGGTTGGCCGGATAACCAGCGGGCGTTCTTCGTTTGGGAGAAAGACCCGTTGTGGGTTCAGCTTAAGGAGGTGGAGAGGAACTAGGGCTGCATACTTGGTGTTTCTCGCGACGCGGTGTGTTGTCGGGTGTCACTCAAGCGTCTTGTTAGATGTTGTGCATGTGTTTGAGCCCAATTGTCTTGTGTGAGAGGCTCAAAGCTCGTCTCTAAATCTCTAGGTACTGTAGCAGAAAGTGAATGTAAATGTGTTAGATCGGAACTTTGACCTCTTCACATTCAATATGCCTTATTTGAAGGCAAAGCACCTCATGGGACGCTTGAAAGCTAGAGCTTCCCGACACGACGATATAATGAATGACTGATGGTAGCAGATGTTCGTTTGGTGACGCCATGGATTGGCATGATCAGCTTCGATGCGGAAGCCGTCACGCAGCTGGAACAAGAACGTGCGCTGACAACCTTGAAAATGTTATCCTTGGCGTAGGAACCTACTACCGAAGGAAAGGATACGTTGATCGGTCAATCCAATTTAGCTGCGGGTAGTGGCTGCCTATACAAAGACAGCACTGCAATCTTTAGCGCGGACGAGAGCGTGATCAGATGAAGACACCAACTAGTTCGGGGTGGCAGCAGGCATTCTGGGCAGCATTATGCGGCCTTGCCTTACCCAGTTGCACTGCAAGCTCTAGCGTGTAAGATAGGCTTCCCACGCATGTCAGGTATTCGCTGCTCCGCGCTAGAGATTGCAGTGCAGATGTACATGGCAGCGCGTCGGATGCATGCAGGACGGGCCAGCTCTATCTGCATGAAGCTCTACTGTCGGCACGAGGTCAGAATTAGCGAGCTGTAGCCTTTGGCGTAGGTGCAGCGCACTGCAACCCTTAGCGTAGAAGAGCAGCAGATACCTCCAGCACTCTGCCTCCTGCGCTGCGATATTTAGCGCGGAAGACAAGCAATATGCCTATGCGAGCGAATTTGCGATGACGCGAATAGCCCGTCTGTCGAGCCTGTCGCACCGAGAGAATACCACGAACGTAGCTCGGAATTGAAGTTTACGTATACGACACTTTTGACTAGCTGATGGAATTGAAGCGCGCGAGCAAGTAGACTGTAGTGATGAGCATACACTGTAAACAGTAGCGTTGAGGATGGCCGAATGTGGAGTGTTATCAGCTGAGGCGGGACGCGGCACGGCTCGTGGTCGATGGTGGGCGAAGCCTGGAACACCAAACTTATGTGCGACAGAGATCATGGTGGGTACGCCGGTAAGCGAAGCCACCGGCGAAGAGCGATTTTGCACTGCAATCTCTAGCGCGGAAGAGGAAGTGGAGCGCACGTACGGCATGGATCAGCAACGGGAAAGAATCTGCATGCAGCGTTTGGGGGCGCATTGCAATGCAATCTCTAGCGCGGAAGAGCGGTGATCGGGTTGAGTTGATAGTGTGATGGTGTGCTCACAACGCTGAGATTGGCATCGCGATCTCTAGTGCGAAGAAGAGAGATGTCTACTCTCAAATGAGCGTCACTGTCAGCACGCCTTCTGCTGCCCATTGCTAGAGAAGATGCCCATTCATGGATGTGCGAATAGCCTTGCAAGCCCATCACAACCGCGGAATTCAGCGAACGTAGCTGTGAACTAGATTCTCTCGAGAAGTTCAACTCTTTTGACCGCGCATCGGAATTGACCCATGCAAGCAAGTAGAATATAGTAGGATGAGGGCTGTGACCGTTCGCATTGAAGCGATGGGCGGGCGAGGGCTGTGACAGCTTAGCCAGCAGCCTTGAGCGGCCAGCTGTGGGAGAAAGCATGGTGGGAAGGCGCCTGAGCGAAGTTCCGCCCCCAAATTTGCACTGCAATCCCTAGCGCGTGGGACTATGTACTCGCGCAGCTTAACAGGCCAATAGCGATGCGACAACATGCAGCGCATTTTCTTTGCGCAGCGGGCCATACAGGGCAGCAGAACCGTTAAGATTCCTGGAAGGGACGTTCGCAACGCATCCGCAGCCGCTTTTTGGACTTGGGGGATGTCGAACATACATGATATATTCTCTGCCCTGAGGCCGCTGCACTGCAATTTTTAGCGTGGACGAGTGGTTGATGCCTGCATCCCGACCGGTGCTGTTTCCCCACCACTAGGTCATCCAATGCTTCCACATGAATGACACACAAGAAGGACCGGTGGTGCAGCAGGCACCGGTGAAGGCCATGTCAGCTCCTGGGACTCGTCATACACATGTGAGCGGATCGCTCACCGGTTTATCGTGCCACACACAGTGGCTTGCAGGCGCACAAGGGTATACGAGGCATTGTGGCAGGCTGACATGCTCAGAATATGAAGCGCGCATCTGCGAGAAGAAAACAAGCTTCTGTCAATTGCCGGTCACTTCAACGCCTGGTCCGTTGGCACACGGGGATCACTCGCTAAGAATGTCATCGCGCTTTCGACCGTTGCAGAATAATCCGCCGAGTATGCAGTCAAGTGATCTGATTGATTCATCACTAGTACATCCACTGCATCTACGGTATGGTGCCTGGAACTCGTGCCAAGGGGGTGCAAGAGGCGCGGAAGCGACCATGGTGACACGCCCGGCACACATCACTCAGCCACTTTGAATGAGATTGGCTCTTTCCAATTTGGTGTCCTGCAATGCGCGCATGTCCTGCTGGAGTCAACAACAAGCGATCAATTCGGTAGTTTGCTATGCTTACCTGCTCTACCGTCTGTTCCACAACGTAACGCGTGACCAACACTGCTTGCTTTTGTCCAAGACGCAGGGCTCGTGCGACAGCTTGGTTTTCGACTGAAGGATTCCATTGGGGCTCGACGATGAAAACGCGGTTGGCGGTCGCGAGATTGAGCCTAGTATATGTCATCAGCGAGAGCAGTCAATGGTGAGTATGTGGCCGACTTACCCTACCGCGCCGGTGCCGGTGGTCATGATCAGTACTCGCAGATTGGGGTCCTCCGTGAATTGATGCAAGATACGTTCGCGTTTGGTCGTTGAGCATTCGCCGTCGATACGCTCATGGGTCCACGTGTTATTTGACATGTAACGGAGATAGCTCTCTAGCAAGTTCAAGGTGCGCGTCCAACAAGTGAATATAATGCTGCGAGCTTGTCAATCTTGCCTTTCATATGCGTAATCCCATCGGGCATACCTTTTCGTAGTCCATATATCGACGGAAACGTCGTTCATCAAGACTTCCATCTTCGAAGACCGTCCATTCGCTCGAAAGTAGGTATCTTCATGTGATGCGTCCATGAAATGATGTGCTTCGGTGGACATATTCCACAGGGGCTGGCATAGCGGGCATTTGCTGGGTATCTCGTCGTGGCCACTAGGCGTGCTCTGGATAAGGCATTGAGAGCACAACACATGCCGGCAATTCTCGGTATAGCGATGGAACATGGAGCCGCTATTGAAGGCGGGCATGGGTTGCCGGCATACTGAGCACGTGATCTCGCCGTCTCGCCCCAGGGAGATCTCCATGGCCTCCCTCTCATCCAGTAAATGCAGTTTGCGGCGATTCCACGAGAAGGGTTGCTGCCAAGTACCATGGTTGCAGAGAATCCGTAGTTGAAGCTGTACCTGGAACATGCCCAGCGTACTCTTTTGATCGAACGTGCCATTCTGGTTGCGGACAGCTCGGAACATGATCTCTTTGGTCTGCTCGTATTGCAATCGCTCTTCTGATGAGAACGGTACCTCTCTCACTCGATGCTGCTCAGCAGGCAAGTGCAGGACATCTTTGGTTCTGCGTAAGCACATGGAGTCCAGAAGACGAGTGAAGCGCTCAATCGCAATAGTACGTCTCTTACCGCCCTCATCAAAAGGTATAGCAATAGTCTTTCGGAAGTTCGACAAGCTGTGAAACGGAGTGACCCTCAAGAAGGCGAACAAGGAGCCAATGTCCTCCAGGCGATTTTGTATAGGCGTGCCAGTCAGACACCACCTCGATCGGGCCGCGATGTCAGCTACAGTCCGGTACAAGATGGTGGATTGCCGTCGTATAATGTGGGCTGCGAGATAATCGTCAATGGTGAGCGGCCAACGTTCGATAACTTACTCACCTTCATCAATGACAAGACGATACCATTCAATATGCCTCAACTCGTGCTTGGTCCTGGCAAAATCTGACGCGAGTGTATGATAGGTAGTGATGACAAGGTCTGCCTCCATGAGCCTCTCCAGGGAAACGTGTCGATGAGGGCCATGATACTTGATCGCTTTCAAGGCTTTACGAGTAGGCTCTTCAAAATGCCTTTCAAGGTGAGCAGCTGGAGAGTATGCAACGATCTGTGTGACTTACTTATCTAGTTCCTGAAACCATTCATTGATCATGACTGCGCCGTTAGCACAAGAGCACTAGCGTGTATCGCAACGATGGTATACTCACGGTCTGATGATGCAACGATCAGGGTCGCTCCAGAGCGGCGTCTCTTCTTTGGTATTTCCGAAGTCGCATCGTTCAGATCATCGATGCGGATAGCCCAATCGTGCGCAGTGTTTAGCGTCCGTAGTACAAGTGCTAGTACAGAGAGAGTCTTTCCCATCCCCATCTCGTCTGCCAGGATACCACCACCGGTCTCCTTAGGCTCAACCATGGCTATCGAATTCTTAGTATGCTTTCAAATCAGAACGTGTAAAGAACGAACTCACAACGTCCTTTCGTCAGAACATGACGATAGCTGTCAGTGGTGTCAGCGGTATTACGCAAGGCAGTTTGCAGGATACATACCATTGGACTCCATCTTCTTCGCTCGGCCTCCAGAGTGTGTACTCGTCTGGTATGGGCCCATCTTCGCGCTGCATCATGAAAGAAAGTGCTGTCTTCTGGTGCCTGGGTCTATCAGCGGGTGATCGCGAAGCATCGATATTCGGAAGTGAGAGCAAAAGGTTGACGGAGAGGATCAAAAAGAACTTACAACAAAAGATCGGTGTTGAGGCGCTCGTCACCCTCTAACCCGTGCAAATTGCGATCTCGCGTCAAAGAGGAATACACATTTTGGAGGGTGCTTCTCAATGTCTGCAGACCGACCTTGTCAGGTAAAGGTTCTTCTGTCATGGTTGGTATCTCAGGTGTCGAGCCTTGAAAGCCAGGGAGGGTGAGAATATGGGGATTCTCGTATCGATAACCATCTCGTATGTACACAGGGCGTTGCAGGTAGATCTTTTGCTGCGACAACTCCTTGCCGATGTCGCAAGCGGCTGTCGATGGGCCGTACACATTTATCTGTACCCTTACCACGGCTTCTTTGTCCTTCGTGGCGCGGCCTATGGTCTCCTGGATGACCACCGTTGGCGCGAAGACCTCCAGATCGATCTCATAGCCTTGTTCTGCGATGCTCGTTAACGCTCCGTCTAACTGGGCGTTCACATCCCCTACGACACCTCCTTCGGGGAAAGCGACAACGAATTGGGCTTCGGGTTTGATGATCACCATTCGCGCATGGCCTGTGATCGGGGATGATGCGATGTTGTTGAGCTTACGATGAAGCTCCCCCATGTCGCCTCGGAGGCGAATAGCGGTTCTAAAAATCTTGAAACGTATCAGCTCGCCGCGAAAATGTGACAATGTCTACGCGATTGTTGGTTCTCTACTTACCATGCCATAACAGATATGTTCCTGCTCAGCTAGAGTCTGCTCCTCAGTGGACTCATGCTGCGCTTGCCCAGTCGTCCAGTCTTCAATATCGCGACTCGTCTCTTGAAAAGAGCCGTTAATGTCGATTCCATCCAGTAGTGGGTCGCATTGTACGTCCTGTGACCCAAGCAGTTCGTCCACGTATTGATCCCAAGATTGAGTTGGTAGAGCCGCCGTAAAACTACGATCATCAGTCTCGCGCCCGATCCTAGCGTCTGTCGCATACTGATCCAAGGAATCTTGCTGGAACCAGTTCAGCTGCGGACTGTGCCTCTCGTGGTGAAAGTTGTCGACATCGTCGTCGTTGAGTAGGTGTTTGAGCGCCATGACGCGTGACGTAAGCGCGTTCTGGTCTAGCGGCTTGGCAGCAATGCTACCCGAGCAGATGATCGATTCGCGGATGAGAGTCTACTTCAACCAACTTCTAGACTACACTCGAGAACTGTGGCTCGACATTCGTGAGACGTGCGAAAGAGGCGCTACTTAGTATGCTGCGGATATGTGGTCTTTTCAGCTCGTCGTACCCGGGAGGCTACGTTGCAGCCTCTCGCCGCGTCCTGCATGCCGATAAGCCACACGCACATCTTCAGCCTTGCTCCGCCCCCTCCACAGCAACGCAACTGGTCAGTCATGGCCTACGCACATATCTTCGACTTGTTAGTGCTGCCTGGCATGGCGGCACAACCATCCCATCTTTGACTGGCATATCCGAACTTCCACACGACGTTTGATGAGTAGGTTTAATGGCGGGCCCAACATCTTCGCAATCGGCTAGTCGCACTTCGACGGGCGCTCTGTCCCAGCAACCGACCCTTGTCGGAGGACTCACCCCACCACGGCATGCGACAGGAACCGCCTTGACCCGTGCTATCACGCAGTTTCGCAACAAACTCACAGGCACGGAACTCACGGAGTTTAGCACGACGACATACGATCAGCTCTGCAAAGCATTAATCCAGGTTCAACATGAGCAAGAGCACCGAATGGAAGCGATGAACCTCGCTCGTGTCAAATCATGTCTGGAGGCCATGCACCAGTTCGGTCAAGTCATAGAGATCTTCCTCAACGTTTCAGACGCGGTCGCCTTCGTCTGGGGTCCTATGAAGTTCATCTTGTTGGTAGGTACACTGACGGTCTATGAGGAGCGATGCCTCAACTAATGCATGGTATAGACAGCTAGCACATTTGCCGACTCATTCGAACAACTTCTGGACGCGTATGAGAGAATTGGCGAACAGCTACCGTTGCTGGTCGAATATGAATCATTGTTTCACAAATCGCCCCATATGATTGACGCCTTGGAGATGATGTATTTGGACATCTTGGAATTCCACCAACAAGCGCTCAAGTTCTTTTCGGGCAGATGTAGGCTAGCCCTGCCGGATCTCCGCGCATGCTTTAGCTAATGTTGATACAGTATGGACTCGGTTCTTCAAATCCATGTCAGTATCCTGCGTGCGGAATCCAGGAGAAAATAGTGCTGATGTTTAACTTTGGGATACAGGTGGAAGAACTTCCATACGAAGTTTGAGGGAGTTTTGAGTAGTCTTCGTCGACATAAAGACATAGTTGAGTGCCGTGCTAGTCTCGCCCAATACCGACTCTACCAGGACGACGTAGCCGACTTCCGGGCGAAGTTGGAAGAGAACGTCCAACGAGAAGAGACCAAGAAGCTGATGCTTGTCAAAGACTGGCTGGCTGTTGGAGAGCTACCTCGGCTCGATCATGAAAGCTACTGCAAGATACGGAACGAATGCGCGACCACTACCAAGTGGGTAACACAGCACGAGACCATCAAACATTGGATCCACGCCGATATCCCGAACAGTCCTGTCGTCTGGGTTTACGGGATACCAGGAGCTGGTGCGTGTCCTTACTGTATCGGCAGAATGATCCTGATTGACAATAGGCAAAACTATACTGACATCGGCCATCGTCGAAGAGTGCAAGACCAAGACTGACTTCATCACCTGCTTCTTTTACTGTCACGATGGCGACCCCACAAGTAGCACCGCGGTTGGTATACTGAAGGGCCTGGCAGATCAACTGCTAGATCATTATCCACAGATGCTGCCTCCCTGCTACACACGGCGCAGCTCGAGTGGGGAACCGTCCCTCAGATCTCTCAACCAAGCGAAGAGGCTTTTCGAAGATTTTTGCTTCACCATTCCCAAACTCTTCATCATCGTTGATGGGCTGGACGAGTGTGAAAGGGCTGAGAGAAGCCAATTGTTGGATATGTTAACCGAACTCGTAGGGCAGCGCGATGCGGTTGATCCGGGAACCATACGCCTTTTGATCGCGAGTCAAGACCACGCCGACATACGGAGAGGGCTTCACAGCTCCGCAATCACCAAGATAGCGCCCAAGATGCTGCAGATCTCGGAAAAAGACAACGAGGGCGACATCAAGGCCTACACCAGGATGTGGGTAGATCGCATTGAGGCAAAGTTTCCATTATTCACGGAAGACATGAAAGAATACCTTCGTCACCTCATCGTGGCTAACGCAAAAGGTGAGTCGGTTGATGAATCCCTACACGCAGTCAAGATCTAATTCCAAGGCAGGCATGTTTCTTTACGCCAAATTGGTTTTGCTTGACCTTCACGCGTGTATGACGCTAGCAGAGCTTTTGGACTATATCAAGACCGAGAACTTTCCTCCCGGACTCGCACAAGCGTAGGTACACGCCGAATGGAGCCCGCGACATCTTCTGGGCTCCGTGTTCGTACATTCGTTACGGAGATCGAGTGTTCATTAACCGCGTCGACAGATATGAACGGATAGTTACACGTGTCAAAACAAGATCTGGCAGAGGATGGCCGAAAACCAAGAAATTACTCGGATGGTGTGTTGCCTTCTGATCCCAGGACCTGCACATTGTATTCTGACCACGACTGTGTCTTGCAGGTTGGTGTGTGCCAAGCGCCGGCTTACTTGGAAGGAGATACAGGTCGCACTCTCGATCGACGTAGACTATCAAACCATCGATTACGAACACCAACATCTCCGCGATCACATCTACGAAACATGCGGCTCACTAGTACTTGTGAATGGCGACCGAGTCTCTCTCGTTCATAGCACAGCCAAGACGTACGTTAAACTGTCTGCGTTCGTGACGTGCTTATCCTGACTGGAACAGGTACATCACTAACATCACGGAAGATATCCACGAGCCATCCATCGAATGCGAGTTGGCGACGTTGTGTCTACAATACCTTACTTTTCCCTGTTTCGACATCGACGGTCCAGATGATCAAGCGCAACGCCGACGATACGTATTGGACGGATCGATTGCTTTCCAGGATTATGCCATCGCGAAATGGTTCCATCATGTCAACGCTTGGGTTGGCCAAGGCGAGAGATTCCTCGACGAGGCAAATGACGCGACAGGACAATTACAAAGCATCTTCAAAGCCATGGATGATTTCATGACACGGTATGGCGACGTGGACTGGTCCAACGGCCTGGTGGACGACTGTAAGACCAAGTGCAGGGTGTTCGAGCATCTCGACCTCCACGATCATCTAGTGGAGCTCACAAGCCACATTTACACGTTCCAGCAGAAAGGCTTCGATGCACAACACAAGATCAGCATTGAAGACCTCTCGAAGGCCTTGGAACGGAATCGGAAGGCTCTTGAAATATTCCCCAAGAGCAAGCCTGGCCCAACTGCACACGAGAAGGAAGCATACAAAAGATTTTACGACGAGGAAAGGCGGTTCAAGTGCACAAGGATAACATGCAGGTACTTCTCAGAGGGCTTCAAGGATGAAAAGGCTCGCAACCGACACGTCAACATTCACGAACGACCGTTCCAGTGTGAAGTTCCAGATTGCCTGGGCGCTGAAGGGTTTGCCAACGCGAAGGATCTGGAGAGACACACACGCGCGTTCCATCCCGAGATGAGTGACTTAGCCGAGAAGTTCATCACTGCTACAACAAAACGCGAGGCATCGACCCACGCCTGCACGATGTGCGGAAAGACGTTTTCGCGCAACTTTCACCGCAAGAACCATGAGTTGAGCCATCGAGGGGAAAGGCCACACGAGTGCCCGGAATGCGGCAAGGCTTTTACGAGGCTGAACGATCTCAAGCGGCACCAGAAGATACATGATAGAAAGTAATAAACCTGGTCACATGATGCTAGCCGTACCTATCGCTCCACTACACGCTCGCCACTAGCTGTCACGCTGAGCCAAGTGACAGTTTCTCTCTGTCGTGAAGCTGATGCGTCGGTGGCTCATTGTTCGTACCTTTTGAGTCTTCTTGGAAACAGACGACATGCAAATTACAGGTGTAGTACAGGCTCGGAGCCTCACCGAGTGAGAGCCGGCAAATGTTTACCCGGTGGGCGTATGCGGATACAGGCACCTCGCTTCTCATCATGTACCGGTCAACGAGGATCTGTGGCGTAACCCGTACTTTGTACACCCGAGCCTCGTCTTCCGGGCTAAGGATTGCAGTGCAAGGCCCGTTGAAGAAGGAATGCAAGCCGCTTGTGGCCGGCATATTCAGTGATCACCACCGGGAACAAAGATTAGTGTCACGCGTCGTCCCGGAAAGGATGACTTCGTGCGCGTGCATCTTTTGGATTAGAGAATGCAGTGCAGCGCTACTAACGGCGGAAGGCACGCAAAGCGGCCAAGATGCGATCGCCAACTTCCCCACATTTGCATTGGAAAATGGCACGAGCAGCGGGCGCGATAGAAAGCGATGATTTTGGCCACGTGATAGCCACGCCACCTGTATCTGGACTGCTCGCTGACTACCATTCGTGATCAGAGCCGTTATGCATCCGGAGCTTTGCAAACATGTCAGAGAAATCAGCCAGTACCCTTTGCTGTGAAGCCAATGCCTTATGTATCATGTCTCGGCACATGCTTTGGACCCACCAGGTGACAAATGCGCCGTGAACCAGGAAGAAAGTATCAGTTCTGGGACCGGTGAGAGCTGACAGTCCATTACCCGGTGGGCCCGTGCGAGTGCAGGCAGCGCGCGCTCTGATGCTTACCATCTGACGGGAAACTGGGCTGGTCTACTTTGTAGGCCTGCGACTCGTCTTCCGCGCTAAGGATTGCAGTGCAATGCCCGATGCGATGGCGTGTATCGGCTGAATATGAGGTCTCCGCAGTTGCCGCAGTTTCGCACATCATGGAATAGCGATTGGTGTGAGGCGTCGTACTCAATAGAGTACCTTGGTGCCTGCGCAATCCCATCTCGCACTGGATGTCGTGATGCAGCTGTGATCTGCGTAAGGCCTGTGCAGCCGACAGTCTCGCCTCCGTTCCGCGTGAAAATGCAGCGTTTTGACGATCTCAACTCAT